CCATAGATACGTGACCCAAAGAACTTGAGGGTCGTCGGGTTTGACCAATCTTTATATTTTCAACGGTACTACATCCCTCAGCCCTCGCTATGCCAGAAGGTGCCTACACATTTTTTACATCAGCTCTATGTTTACTTTTAAATTTCAATGATTTTGGCCTACTTATGTTAATTAGTTATATCTTATAGGTTCTTATATTGTTCTAGATTAATTTTCAGAATAATTAGACTTCATACGAAATCTCTGGATCAAAGTTTTGGTCAGAATCTTCATAACAAACTGTGAGGTACGCATCGCTACATCTTCCTCAAGTCACGCATCGCATAGGAATGAAGATCGCACGCGCTGCGAACGCGTTATATTTACGTTAGTGCTATCTCGCTCGCGCGCGCACCTGTCTCGTTTCTTTTAGCTACTTGCAGAGTCAGGAAAGGCACGTTCTTATTGGACAATCGCGCGACGCTTTTATCGCGCGACTGCCACTACTTCAGCCCCAGTGATTTTGTACTTAAGCTCAATGTATGAACAGAAAATATATACGCTCATATTTCTACACTTCTACTCTTGTTTTATTTCAACAATATTCACATCGCTGCTACAAACAAACAACCGATTGATGAATTGAAATCAGTTAAATATTTTGGCCGCTAGGCAATCTAACACTAACATTTCAAGCGAGCAAAATAAATTTGTAGATATCTGTAGGTACAAGAACTTTTTGTTCGTGCACACCGATAGTCGTAATGGCTTTATGTCGTTTTCAATAAACTTATAAAATCAAAACTATAAATTTTATGATACGAATAATAAAATAAATCGATTTTTGCTACATGTAAGTAGAATAAACGGTAGCACTGTTGTTTGAATAATGTTCAGTACTTCGCGGAGCACCACGTTGAAAAATGTTTCTTCGGTTTATTTTTGTATGTTGTGCTCTTCACCCTTTATTACAGTACGTATAATGACTGTTTCTAATTAATTAACATTATTTTTGAGTACCTATTTGAGCTAGATGTCTATGTATCTAATTCAAAGTTCCTAATTTTCCATTGTTATAGTGTTATCGCTAGAAGACAATCGCTGCAACGTTTTATCGTAGAGGAGGGAGCTAAACCGTATGTATTTTTCTTTCTTCTCTGTACTGCGTATTTGAAAACCCGCTGCGAATCCTTTGAAAGACAAAATGCATTTTGTCTATGGGTATATGGGTATTTTATCCTGTTGAAGGTTGATTATCTTTGCCTCGTCCTGTTTCTATTAAACGTAGTGGTTACATACCTACTCTTTGGTTTCTATATTACAGGGCAGGCAAAGAATCGCGTATCAGCATGACTAATTAATTCTAATGTCGAAAAAACAAGACATATTGGTCCGCTAGCCTGCCTGTCAGTAGAAGCTCGTTGCAAAATATACGAAACGAATAATAAGAAGAAACTCTACACAAACTTCTTTTATGAATTTTTAAAAACCACGAATATTCAATGGCTGAATTGGCACATTGAAGAATAAGGAAACCTAGCGCTAAAAGTCTTCCCCTTAAAGGATGAACTGACATAACTGATCTCACAGAAAGCTGCTGAACACCACGGCCCTACCAACTGATCTATTTACATAGAAATTATCGGGGGAGGCCTAAGTATGTTTTAAATTATGGCCTAAGTATGGCTGATAATATCATGACTTTGTCCACGTAACATATAGTTATCGTAAAAGTTCTGTGATGTGAAACATAATTTAAAATAGGTAGGTACCTACATTGTAAAGAATCAGCAGCTAGTCCTTTGCCACTACGCAGATAAGGCTTGTACTATCATTATCGTCAGCCTATAAGTGCCCACTGCTGAGCAACGACTTTTTTTCACACGGAGACCGTTCGAGCATTAATCGACTCGGCTGCTCAAGGCGGATTGGCGATTTCAAACTTATTCGAGATATATACTTTAGAGATTATAAGTTCAGGTTTCCTCCCGATGTTTTCTTTTAGCGCATGTCGGTGGTAAATAAATAATCATACAAACAAAATACCTACACATTGCCAGGTTTCGAACCTCGCTCGTGGCCACCACTCTGGGGGCTTATACTTATACCTATACTTATATACGAACTTATTGTCATTTTAATAATAATGTAGTTAGTTATCATATTCACATTATATAAATAAATATTATTCATTTTTAGTGCAATCTTCGGTTCGTATAGTTACGACCCAGTGAAGCAAGAATTTGTTCCGCCGCCCTCAGAATATAGTGATGAAGGGAAGCATTACCTGGGAGCATCTCCATCCCTTGCGCTGCCACCAGGAATAGGGAGGTCTCCTAATAGTCTAAACGACACACGTCGTCCAATTTTTTGGAAACATGTGACTGTTTCGCTTGCGCCCGTTAGTGCGAGGGAGGTCACAAATAGCGTACCAATTACAAACTGGTGGAATAAGCCTCAATCATCAATAACAAATCCTAAAAATATAACTGTTAATAAGACTTAATTTAACCTTTAGTACATAGGTACAAATTTATATTTTTACTTCAATACCTAACTACGTCCTAAGTTATAACGTCTACTAGGCAATAGGTACATTATATCCAAATGATAAGACCGGCATTTCACATTTGACAACTAAACACTATTTAATGTGTAGTTAAAATTAATAAGACAACTAAGTGATGTATTTAAATGTTTATTTATTCTTTATAATTCATTTCAAATCACATTACGAAAAAAAATTGGAATAATAATTAGGAAACGTTTATTTGACTATCAGAGCTCTCAATCCCCCAACAAAGTTCAAACATTACAAATAGCTTGGTGATGATGGAAAACGATAAGTATGCAAAAGCTTTTCAGCGAAGTACTTATTGCTATAATTACGTTTCTAAGGGCCGATTTTCCGATGCTTAGATAAAAGTTACCTGGGGACTAATATGATGCTGTCGCGTTAGAATGTTTGTATAAGACAGTGACAGCAACAATTTTATTCCTCAGATAACATTTGACTGTTGAAAAATCAGCCCTAAGTGTCATAAATTGTCATGTAATAAAATTGTATCTAATATAATATTAGTTTAATTTAATCTTTGTTGACTTTCTTATGCCCGGTTCCTATAATTAACGAATCGTCGTGTATATGCATTACGACCGAATGACATTACGAATAGTTATTTTGACCGTCTACTGACGGTTAAAATATTTATAGGAAAACCACAGACACCATAGATCTCCATACAATTCGCTTACCTATATCCGTTAGTTGCAAACCGTCAGTAAGTTGCACGACGAGACGTTTGTTATAGGAACGGTTTTAGCTTACGAGTCGTATATAAAACTACTATTCGTGACTAAAACGGATCGTTTCTCAATTATAGGAACCGGACATTAATGATTTGTAGGTATGTCACTTGGCAAAACAAAACAAGGCAAAACACCTACCGTGTTTGCCTAATTATCACTAAACTTTACGAATAAATGATACTGACTCTGATGTAAACCTTAAAAGAGACTTTTTAGCAATAATGAAAAATGTTGCGGTTGAAAGTACAGGTCAATTAACGACGACAAGTATGACAGAAAGGCTTACTTATTACATTATTTTAGACTAAATTAAGCTTTATTTATTTGACCATAATTATGTAATTAATACACACAAACACATTTTTTGGGTAAACCTAGAGACTAGTCTGTAGTACATACTAAAATATTATAAACTAAATGCTTTTTAAAAATATAAAATTCATAATAAATGATAATCATACTTCAAGTCGGCATTTCATTTCACGTGTGTGCGTGTTTCTTTTACTATTTATATTTATCTAAACTATTAGTTCGTCACCTAAAATTCAATTGGTTATTTTACAAATATAAAGACAAGTATAACTTTGACTAAACATTTGGTTTTACTTATTATTACACGACTATTACCACTGGTTTAGATTCATGTTATTTATTATAATTGTCTCAATTATTATTCAAGGCTTAATGGTTTGTAAGTCTACTAATAAGTATTTAGGAGAAGGCGGCACATTTGTATATACTTTAACTCTTCTTTTCATTCATCAGATTTTAAAAAGGTTGTGTCATAAAGGACTTTTTCTCGCGTACATGGATGCACATACAGACAGGATGTTTATTAAACCATTCAATTAACTAGACATGTAAGTTGTTTGTAGTAAGTAAGTACCTGAAGATTACGTTTTTTTTGTGTAACAGACATGCTGACATATGTAATATTCTGTACTAATCAACCACAGGGAAACACTGATTTGTGAAACTTGTGCCTCCTTCTCCATAAATATATTAACATTGTTTTGTACTACAATGTATCTTAGTATAACTGAGCATAATGCAATACTTGAACAATAATTCATATGTATATCTAACCATAACCTCCGTAAAATAAATACTACTAAAACTAATCCCCTTGTATTCTGTATCAGCTACACATGTAACCTCCCCAGCCCCCTTTACCTATACATATTTAACTTACTTAATAATACAATAATAATTTAATCATATTAATTTGTCTGTACATTTTTGTAAAAGTTGTAGCAATTAATGTAAAATAGGATTCATTATCAAACATTCAACAATCGCTTTGGCTAGCCTTTGCCTACTTATTGCTATTTAGTGCAAATTATTGATCAGCAGAATTGAACCAGGTATTTTTTTACCTAGTTTCCATTTTTAAATTACGAATATCAAATTTGTCTTTGCTTGATTATGAATAAATACGAAAGTGTACTTACTACAACATAGCATATTTGATCACAAGGACTACTCAGCTACAGGTCACAAAGAATGAAAATTTTATGGCATGGGTTGCCATCAAAACTTGTAAACAAATTAATTAAAAATTAATTAAACCTGTACTTGTATAAAACCCGTTGAATTTGAAGTAAGAAAGAACTTTTTAAATGTGTTATATGTTCATAACACATCACAATTGTGATCTTTTTGATGGCAAGCTAGTGGTGAGTTGTTCAATAATTCTTTGCCTTTTTTAAAGCTACGTCAAATATACGGCTTAGAAAATGGACTTTAGATTCAATTTCCATTTCCTTGCATTCACACATTGTATTACATACTATTAAGTAAATGAATCAATCATTTCTATTTATTATAAAGTTGTTGACTATATGACCGATTCCAAAGATCACAGATAAGAAAGCAATGCCGAATATTGCTCGGAAGTACCTGAAACAAAATAAATATGACATGTTGCTTAGTTGTTTGGTTTATTTCAACTTCATTCTCATTTTTGACTTAGCATTGCTATTGTTGTTAATGCTGAGGCACACAAAAATACTTCTGACAAACTATTTAGTGGATAAAATATGTAACTAGACGTTTGGCATAGTGACTGACCATCGGGCTACTGTGCCGACGAACGACGACCGAACGACCGGATTCTACTACCGGCTGGAACCTCTTCGTATGAACCATAAATAGGTAGGTTCTGGATCCGGGTTTATGTATGTGTGTATATAAGTGCGCCAAAGACAAAGGAGTAATCTTAGTTTACCGTATTAAGTAAAAATAAGAGGAATAGCGTCCCTACAATGAAGTACATTTTACTTACCAAGTAAACTTAGACCGCTTGAGCAATCTAATTATGCATTCTGTTTGTTGCCTAGTGTTCTCGAAACTTCCAGAGTTATCGATTACGAAGTGAGACTTCGCCACCTTTTCTTCAAGAGGCATCTGACACGATATGCGTTTCTTCGCGACAGTTTCTGAGAAATCATTGCGTTTGCACAACCTTTCCATTTGCTGGTGATCTTCACTGGAATTTATAACATTTCAAATAAAATTCAATGAATTATTTTACGACTAACAACAACCCACATGATAAAATAAAGGAAAGATAATTCTATAATAGGACATGACTTGTATGATTTACTGACAATACATACATAAGAATAAGCTTATCAAAGAATTACTCCTAAATGTCTGCAAGGGTAATTAATTGGGTGGCAAACTTAAATCTTCCTACTACCCAATTTTTTTTTTCAATTATTTCACTCAAAAATAGCTGGACTGATTTAGTCGAAATTTGTTGTGTAGAACAGCTGCATTTTATCAACATACTATGCTAGTACAAAATAAATGAAAACTCACCAAACAACAGTTATAATTTTGTGCATGAAGGTCAACATCTTCCCAGTTTCAAATAACAGTGGCACTTCCATGACAATGTAGCTATGGCCAGAGAAGAAATATGATATAGCCATCTTCATCATTGCTCTTTGTATTCTAGGGTGAGTGATACTATTGAGTTTTCTTCTCTTTTCAATATCGTCAAACACAATCTCACCCAGCCTCGCCCTGTTTACATTACCATCGGGCAGGAGCACCTCATCTCCAAAGAAATCTCGGAGTTCATTCCACGCTTTAGTACCTGGCTGCAACACTGGAAATTAAAGAATACTCCTGTTATGTTTTATTATAGAAAGTACTAACAAATGTAATACCAACCAGTCAAATTTGAATTTGACTGGTTGGTATATTTTTATCCAAATGCCAAAAACAATACTTTTCTATGAAACTTTTATGAGAAACTGAGTTATGACGTCATAGTATTTTTGAATCAAATAGTATACTCATTTCTTAAAAATTACCTAAAAAATTTCTAAAATTTTGTGTATCAATCAATTGATGAATAAAAGTATAGTTAATTTTGAATACTTTTTTGTATTTAAATGATGAATTAATTTATGTTTGACCTAGGAAACTACCAAATTATGTTGCTGGGTGGTTTTTGTTTATGCCAGCTTGTTTATAACAGGATAGATATATCTTTTGCAATAGCAAAGCAATGCCTGACTTGCTAGCAAATAGCTTAATAGCATATTGGTTTTTTGTGGAGCTTATGAAATTTATTTCATTACATCTTGATTATAGTAAGAAGTCTTTTATGCATACAAAATTGCATCATATGGCTTACCAGGATCCTGACACCTTAAATATTTTGACAAGCAAATAGCAGGGTATTACTATTTATACAAGCATGCCCTTGAATAGCTTTGTTACTTTAAAAAAAACTGCAGTAGGTACGACTAAAGATAGGTGTTGGTATTCAATTTACATTGACATTATTTTTCATGCAAAATGAAATATTCCTGTCAATTCACTATTCTCTAAATGAAACCTTGGCTGTTATTTTAACAATACAACATTTTGCATATGAAATGCATTATCCAGACAATGCACACAATGTTGAAAGGAATAAATATTTCATAAAGGATGTAGGTCATTGTATACTTCCATTCCAACAATATAATTATTCAGAAAACCTACAAAAACATGTTTGACATAGGTACATAAAATACATTTGTGAATAATGGGATGGGCATTTTCTGAGACTTTTAGTTTGAAATTTGGTATGTAGATAGGTGACACCCTAGAATAACACACAGGCTGCTTTTTATCAACATGCCTCATGGGTGTAGCCGAGGGTGGAAACTAGTTATAAATCATTTTCTCAATAAAAAGGCACACACTTCAACTTGTTAAATCAGTCACTGTTTAATTGTATATGGCACCAATAAGTTCTTATAATTAACAAAATTACTGATAACTGAATATTATTATGATTAAGAGTCTAGTTAACACTGGTCCATTTATGTGAGTTGAAATTTTACTTTGTTTGGTAATAATATCATGAAATAAATAAGTTTTTTTTTTCAGTAAAAGTAGCCAAGTAAGCTGCGGCAATATTTTTAGATGATAATATCTTGACAATGTTTAGCTTTATAAAGTAACTTCTCGCTTGGCATTGAACTTTAAACAAATTATTGATAGGCAAAACACTTCGCGATGCAAATTTGGCTAAGCTTCGGTCTTAAGATACTATTTTAGAAGGATATAAGCAAGTAATGAAAAGTCAATAATTACCTTGTCTCGCTACTTCATCTGCATCAATTACTGCTATGCCATTGGCTCGAAATATTGAAAGTACTGTACTTTTTCCAGTCGCCAGTCCACCAGTTAGGCCTACTATGAACATGTTGCTTGGATAATTTATTTAGCAGCTATGTGGTACTGTGGTAATCATGGACTACATTCACCGCTGACGCGTAAATAGGTATAATTAAACGAATTCGACACGTTGATTAATTTAAAAAATTTAGCGTATTGAACGCCGCGAACCGCAGCTCGATTTCGTTGATGACAAGTATGACAGTTGCACAGTTGAAGTTGATATGGGGCTGCCATCTTCTAAAACAAGATTAACTTGTAATTTATACAAAACTAGCGGCCCGCCCCCGCTTCGCACGGGTCAACTATATCACTATCAAAGGGTTACTTTTCCCCATTTTCCCCTCTACTTTTCTAATATTTTCTTTGATAAAAACCTTCTCCTGACAATAACAAACACAACAAAAAAAGAATTAGCAAAATTGGTCCAGGCGTTGTTGAGTTATGCGCTTACCAACACATTTTGCGATCCATTTTTATATATAGATATGTAGGTAAATATATTTTGTCTTTTCCTTTTTAAAGTATTGTAAGCAATTAATGCACTGATGACGTGGTAATCAAACCTGCAACACGTTAGTTAATTTTTAATTAAGTTCATTTAATTGCTGTTTGTAATTTGGCTTTCATTACTGGAGTTATCAGTGTCGAGATTGCTTTAGCTGAAGAAATCAGTCTTTCGATAATGATATCAAGAATATATTTGTAATCATATTGATATAATTATAATGATATAACAGGATGATAAAATTATTGTCATATCTAGCTGTATTATTATCTGGAGTATTTGATTCCGTTCATGAAAAGATTTGCCTGGATTTTAGTACTTTCAATTTTAATGGCAACTCGAATCAAAAGTGACAGTGACTTTTCTTTGACACTATGTTATAAAATTTGATATTAGCCTTTTGAGATTTAGGATTTGGAATTAGCAGGAAGGAATGTTTTTCCTCGTATTGTTTTATGTAATGATAATTCACATTGCATACAGTCTTTCAAAGTACTGGTTAAATTTTGATTTGAACGTTAGATTGATTCCATTTAGAATTTATTTATGAGAACATCAATCAATGACAACTTACTGTTATGCTTATTTTTAATAAAGAATAGAGGCACAAGATAATAAAGTGGCTATCAAAAATAAGATACGTAGATATTACTTAACTGCAAAAAAAGTTTGACTTACTGATTTCTCCTATACAACGCTTTAAAAATGCTGAAGCACGTAAAATTGCTCATTTTCTTCTAAGCATTTGGTAGATATGACCACAAAATCAAGACAAATTTGATAAATTTGTTAAAGTAAATGTAGTAAATAAATGTATACGTAACTAAAAAAAAAAAAAGTGTGACGCCATACATAGGCTTATCACATTTTTTTTTTCATAGAGATATTTACAGACTTTCCGACCGGAGGGGCAAAGGCGTCGTAAGGCGTGGGCGACGTGGGCCACCGACTACGGCCTTACGGTACAGGAGGAGGAGGCCGCCTTGCACCTCAAGAATTTATATCTTTCGTCTTCAGGTCGCCACAGAAAAGGGCCTCGCAAAATCTGTCTTGTCCACATTAAAATTAGGTCTTGCCTCGCTACTGCTGAGGGAGATTAAACTAACTCACATCCTTAGCAAAACAGCGAATCACAACACAAGCGCTGAGTCATACTGGTTTCCAAACGCAATATCTTGTTAAGTTCACTGAAATTCGTGATGAAGCATGAATGATGGGATAAAAATAATCAATGTATTTATTTTTAGATTTTTATTTAAGGACCTCAGTAACTACATACCATTTTTCTTTTATTTTATCTATTATATTAATATAGGTAGATGAGTTTCACTGATGTTGTTTCAACCTATAACTAATTCACTAAAAATGACTTAAATCGCTGAAAATGCTTATCACACGTGTTTAGACAGTGCAAGATACCAAGATACAATTTGTCAATTTGAAGCCTTTAGATACACAGTATTAAGGTATAGTTTCTACTATGTTAGAATTGTGTTAGTAAACCAAATAACTGGGGTCTCCACTACCCCTCAAAACTGTACGAGTTGCAGAAAGACGAGGGTATCGCATTAACATTACGGTGGGCCTCATTATTTTGGTCGATAAACACGTGGGCGGGGAGCTTCGTGTTAGGGCGGAGTCTGGTACCGCAGAACCATCCCTCTGACCCTCAGAACGTCACAATGTCGTTAACTGTCATAGGTAGCACAACTCCTGAATTGATGATTCTGATTAATAGTCCTGTAAAATTTCAGGGAGTTTTACTAGTCATGTTGCATTAAAGTTTAATGTCAGTTGTTTATTTTTTAATAATTTTCCCGATATGGATGGACCTAATGGAATAAGATGTTCTTCTTTGGACAATACAAGTGTAGTGCCCTTGCCCGTGGGAGGTTCACCGACTTCAGCAAACAGTTCCGACAATTATATGTACGATGATTCGTCAATGTCTGATGGAAGCCTTTACGCTAGTGATCAAGAAAATTTATCTACTCCACGAAGAAGGTAAGTACTTAAATACTATTTTATTATTATCTACGATAATTTATGACTTACAAGTACCTATTTAAAATTTATTGTTGCCCCGCAATTTGTTTTCATATTTTTTTCAAACTGAAAATATTTATAAGTATGTTTACTGTGATTGTATTATTTTTATTTTGCGTGATTTTTTTATGATCGTTCCTACCTAATGTTAAAAGCTGTCGCGACTTAAATGCTTTTGATAATAGGTATTTGATTTTCGTTCCAAAATTCCCTGCTATTTAGGTACCTACTTTGCTATTTACCTATTTGAGATACCTACTAAGTAAAAAAACTTTCTTCTGACTATTGTTTCATGATAATTTTGACGCCAGCTCTAAGTTTTACCTAAAGCACATTTGGCTGGACATCGGATTATTATTTGACCTACATGGATACCTAAGCTACTTATTCCCTAACAGAGCGCGCCTTAAAATTTGTCTACCTCATTAGCAACATACTTAAAATAGCTACCTAGGTATTTTACACTGAACAATGACTACTCAATTATACTAAATATTTTAAAACCGTGAAAAAAGCAATATTTTTATTGCAACCAATATGCAGTAAATTATGTAATTTTTCCCCCTATATTTTTATGTGACAGTAGTTTTTTTTGAGAGTAACCTGATATCTTGTAACTTAGACAATCATGAGTACCTATAAACAATTTGCCGACTTTGTGCGACATTATGTGGCTAATTTGCCGAAATTACAATTAGCCTGCATTTGTATATTTAAATCTAAATTATTTACCTAAACTCATCTACATCACATGATTTCCCTCACCTATAAAACTTGATTTAACTCAGATTAAGTAATTTCATTGCTGTTGCGTAGATCCCAACCATACAACAACATACCTATATATCTTAGGTAGCTACTTACCTACTCTATCAACACATGTAGAGGAACTTTCCCCTTTCAGATCGGACTACAGACGGCTACACAGGCGTAGATCTTCGTTGAGATGCCCTCAGCAACAGATCCAGCAAAGACAAGCAGCCAACCTGCGCGAGCGCCGACGGATGCAATCTATAAACGACGCCTTCGAAGGCTTGCGAGCTCACATTCCTACCTTACCTTATGAAAAAAGGCTATCGAAGGTGGATACCTTGAAACTAGCCATCGGCTACATAAGCTTTTTGGGTGAACTGGTCAGTACTTTTGGTCATTACCTACCTAATAATATGTATAACTATATAACTACTTAGTCGATAGTTATAGTTAGCTTCCGACAACTTCAAAAGGCGAGTTTTGTAAAGACATTGCATAAAGAATGCTAGTCACTTATGGCTAACTTAATCTAGGTACTTACATAACGTGAAATAACTAGCTACAGATTTTATTTCTTTTCATAGATTTTAACCTTTCTTCCCATTCCTAGATTAGATAAGATAAGACCTACTTACTCTTAGCTGTGTTTTGCTTTGAGTACCTAAGTACCTAAAAGATTTGTTACACACGGTGCGGCTCGCCAGTTCTGTTTCTTGAACTTGGTTTGACGCGCTAGCTTCTAGATCCTCTCATCTTTTTTAAGGCGCAATTTAATTAGATAATGTTTACCAATTGATTTAGTTTTAATTCAGAACTAAATATCAAGTGATAAGTATATACTCTAGTCAGCTTGTTAATAAGTATGTATATGTATTTACCTAATTGTATTATCAGGTACGAGTCGACCGCTGTTCCTCGGAAACGATGCTATCGGGAGTAGCAAACTCGCACAATAAGGAAGAACAAAAGAAAGTTATTATTAGAGGTAAGGATTTCTGTTTAGTTATACTTTTCAACCCTAAATTGTTGTAATGATTTTCTGTTTTAACTGTTGAGTATTTATATATTTATCGGCTTGGTAGTAATATCTAAATGAAAAATTAAATAACTCAGCTTTATAACAATAATATAACACAGCTTTTTCATGAGGAGACAATCATAGAATGACTTCAATCGACCAGGGTTTTGTTTTTTGTTTTGTGAGGGGAAAATCATCAAATGACTTCTCTCGCCCAGGGCCGGGCGGGAGGGAATGTCAGACTCTTACTGACTAAAAATCCCCCTGTTCCTTCTCCTGCTCTGGGCTGAGGTCGCGGTGCCTCATTGCGCTTACCCCGGCTGAACATCAGCCCAATAGGGCCCCGTCTGTGGTGGTCTTTTGAGGCTCTTTGAGGCGCGCGCGGAACGCTATAGGTACGCGCCGTACGCTCGGGTCTGGTTCTGGTCGGGTGGCGAGCTACCCTTACTCGCCGACCGCAGACCCGCGCTTACGGTGGCCGGAGATCGTCCCCTGATCTCCGACGCCCGAAGTGTCGCATGTTGCGGCGGCTGAGGCGTGAGGAGGAGGATTGCTCCTTCACGCGGGCCGCTTCACAGAAGGAGGAGACGGCGTCCCAGTTCCTCTCGCTCCGCACCATGGCCTCAACTAAGGCCGGGCGCGAGAGGTCACCGACGCCAATCGACCAGGGTAAGGAAGGTGGGAGTTAGTTTCAGACTCTTACTGACTAAAACCCCCCCTTTCTTCCTCCTGGTCTTGGCCGATGCCGTAGTACCTTATTGCGTTTGTCCCCAACCCCTATTAGCTCTTTGATGCGCGCACGAAACGCTACGCTCGATTCTTTTTCTGGTCGGGTTGTGAACAACCCGTGCTGGCTGTCCGTAGACCCGCGGTTACGGTGACCGGAGAACATACATAAGAATAAAATCTACTGAGAACGCGGAGCAACAGGTAAGCACCAATGCGTAGCAAAATCTACGAATTTAATTTAATTGCATTTGAACGAATAATCTTTCAAACGTGGTAATTTTAGACACAATCGAAGAACAATAAATGCGCATACGGCGTTCGCTTGAGGTTTAACAGCCATCTACAACTTAGCACAATAGACCGAGTAACATACATATCTGACGCATAATTATCAGTAACTATTTTGGTAACAAAATGTACATCACAAATGAAGGCTACAGATGCACTGTGTCCAATGGAGCGTGCACAAACGATGCGGCCCGGGGTCACGCGGTGGCGGTGCCAGGACACGACCCCTGCATTGTATGTGCACCTTTTAATGATCGATAAACCACTAATATAGGTTCATTATGCACATTGAATAAAAAGAATCGACGAAAATAGCATGGACTAGTTCACTTTAGCTAAAAATAATAGATGAGTAAGTATTCAGTATTCTGTTTGGCGGCGTCAATTTGCAAAATTATATGGAGTGCGAAATAACAAGTACCTACTTAGATACGCTTGTCTGAGATTCAGCCTATTGCGATTGCCTATTAATTTTACTGTCCACTTGTCTTTCATGGTAAGTAATTCAATTTGTTATTCTATTTCTATTGTCGATTTGTTTTTTTTTTGTAAACAGCTACTTTAAGCCGTCCGTTCTTTAATCAGGGTTTCAGTATAAATAGGCAAGAACCTGATTTCCTACTTACGGAGTAGTAATCGGTGTCGGAAAAATGAGATATAATAATATATTTCTACATAAGATTTATATAAGTTTCGAATTAACTTCAATAAAACCTTTTGACCTACAAAGTGCATTAAGTAATCACTTAAAGAAAAATACATTTTTATTGTAGTTAGCTAAATTTGTTTGATTGTGGTTAGAATTGTTTAGGCTCAGTCGAAATGAGTCGGGTTTTTACCCCGTAACCATAATTTATTGTAAGTATTGGGCGGTGATAAACCCGCAAGTGCACTCTCCGGTATTCGGTCTTTTACAAACAAAATTATGCAGATAATTTCAATTCAATAAAAATCAAAACTGCTGTTGTATAGCTCTCCTGCGAACGGGTCTTTTAGTCATTAAAATTTCAAGTTTACCAGCCGTCATAACACTTCATTATTGTAAGTAGATATTAGTAGATAATTACAGGCTGGCGATAAATGGGGAAACTTCGTACACAATGAAAATGTGAAACATGAAATCAAACAAAATAAAACAAACAACTGAAACGTTCTGTCTTAACCAATGTAGGTAGTGTATTATTAAGAAATAAAATACATAGGTAACAATCAAAAAGTCCTACACATTTTAACGTAAGCTAAAAGCAAATATTTATCCGATATAGGTACCGGGTGTAAAAAGACACTTAACGAAGCCGAAAGCCACGTATTCTACCCATTATTAGGAAAACATTTTTCTCCAGGACCATAGCTGGGACTCCACGGGTTCTCGAGATATTGAAGGTCAAAGATGCATTTTTAAATTTTTTTTGCGCAATAAATTCTAAGTAAGTTTTATTACAAAACTTTTTTCCAAACAAACATTACCTGAATTTTCGATTTTTCTAAATAAATTACGCATTTGAAGTTACGAACAGTAACTTCAGACCCGCACAAAAAACATCGTGCATCTCAGTAGGATTTTTATTTTACAGAATTTTTTTGTTGTTGCCATATAAAACGTCGACTTACGTACTTATCATAGCGTTTTCATGCTAAGCTGTGAACCTACGCACACAATGACACGAAGCTTTACATTGCGCGCAATAACATTATTATTTTTTTGATACCTAAAAATAAAAGTCGTTTCCCAGTAATAATTTTAGCGTAAAGCTATGCATTTTAATAATAATAAATAAATATAAATTTAAATAATATTCTTTGTAATACGTAACACGTAAATAGAGCATACCTACTTTTTACTTAATTTTATTTTATTTAACATTAGTACTAATTTACTCGCAAATTTATTTATGCTTCTGTAATTGTACATCGCTACTGCAACTGTCCCGAAGTTCCCCTCTCAATATGTCATGGCAAGTAGTAATTACGTCACACATTGCGTGATGAACGAATTTTACAGTTCTCTCGATTGGTCCAGTAGCAGCGGTGTTTAGTTCTCACGGTAACATCAAAATCGCGTGATGAGAGTTACCTCGCCCGTGCTCGTCCCGTGGGATCCTACCTTTTATCATCCCACAGATCCCGCTACCGTGACAAACATATCGTTTTATTTATCAATTATATTATCTCCCACAGTGTTGAGTGACATCTGAAATGTTTCAATTATTTCGTTTAATTTTTTTCTATTTATGTCTTCATGCACTCGAAAATATACAGGGGGTGGCCTTGATGCCTTGAGCACTCTCTCTCTCTACCAGTCTGACCTTTGGGTGATGCAGAGAAAAATACCGAAGGCAGATGCAAGAACCAAAAGTGAATTAAATAATGCTGTTCTATATTTTGTTTAAAAGAATTACTTTAAAGTGCTCTTTAATGTATTCAAAACAATACTCCCCCCTAATTTGACATACAAGAAGCTTTGCAGTACACTTGTGATGATGCTTCTAAAAGTGTAAACAAGGGTATAAGCAGCATATTTGCGAATCACGCCGTAGCAAATTGAAAGATCGCCCTGCGCTAATAGGGGGCTGGGGACGGAGTATATTCGAATACAATTAAGCCCTCTACACCACTTTAACGCGGCCGACCCCTTACTTTTATTCTGTTCGCACTTTGAGAAATATGTATCAACTTATCTTGCTTAAACACTACCTACATAAAATACTTTAATATTTTGCTAGAAAAAACTACAACGTCCACGTTAAAATCACTGCATTTTACCAAAAAATTAGACTTTGATAATCTACGAATACTCGACAATACAAGTCCATTATTTTCATATCAATATCAAAAGCGTCGACTTTGGTGACTATGGGCTCAAACACAAACGAGGGCTGATAAAATACTCTATTCCGATGTGTTAAAGATAATGACTACAGTACAACCAATAGTGGCCGATGTATAATCTCTTTTTCAATTATTAAAAAGCACCTTATCGAAGTGTAATGTAGGATTTACATAGAGATTATACCGCACGTGCGCCGTTTCACACTCCCGTCGCGTGTCGATATACGGTTTTGTATTGTTTTTTTGAGAACCCCACCAAAAAGTATAACAATGTTATTAGCGACTGGCACCGCAGGTGTAAAATAAATTTAAAATAAAGAACAATTAATTTTGACACAGTTTTCACAATTTTGTAGATTTGGAGAATTACTTTCAAGTGAATAAAATTTTATTATTTATTTATTACTACTACAAAAAGAACTACAAAAATGCCTATCAAACTTTTGCTCGCTCGTCAAATATTTGACGCTACAGGCGTTCCAACCGTTGAAGTGGATATGGTAACAGAACTTGGATTATTTCGCGTTGGTGTTCCATCAACAGATAATAAAAAACTTGTTGAAAGCATACAACTCCGAGATAATAACCCAGCAGAGTACCACGGCATGGGTGTTACGATGGCTGTCAAAAATATTAACACAATTATAGCACCTGAACTTATTAAGCAAAATCTTGAGGTCACTATGCAAAAAGAAATAGATCAATTCATGATCGCCCTCGACGGCACTGATACCAGATCGAGGCTTGGTGCCAATGCAATCACGGCTGTTTCCTTGGTAGTGGCCAAGGCTGGAGCAGCTAAGAAGGGAGTACCCCTGTACAGACACATCTCTGACATGGCAGGAGTTACTAGTATCATACTGCCGGTACCGCACTTTACAATTTTGACAGGAGGAATATTATCCTCTAACGGACTGCCATTTCAAGAATACTTGATAATGCCTACTGGAGCGGCTTCCTTTGCAGAGGCGATGCGTATTGGCACGGAAATATATACGTATGTCAAAAAAATTATATTATCCAAATACAACATCGAGACTGCGTATGTAAGCGATAATGGGGGCTTCTCAATTCCGCTACAAAGTCACAGAGATGCTCTTCTCTTTCTTACTGATGCAATCAAACAATGTGGGTATTTTACTAAGGCTGAAATATCAATTAATGCGGCCGCATCGGATCTGTATAAAGACGGAGCATATGACTTAGAATTTAAAAATCCTAATTCAAATCCTCAGGAATATATGTCATCTGACAAACTAGCCGAGGTATATTTGGACAACATAAAAGAATTCCCAGTATGTTCTATTGAAGACGCTTTCGAATATGACGACTGGTCAGCATGGTCCCAGCTTACAACTCGCACTCCTGCTCAGCTCTTTGGCAACGATCTAACACAGACCAACCTTAGACGAGTTGGTCTTGCTATCGAGAAAAAGGCTGGCAATACGATTGGTTTGCGAATAAATCAAGCGGGCACTGTGACCGAAGTTATTGAATGTTATAAGATTTTGAAAACTGCTGGATTCGGTGTGGTTATCTGTGATAGATGGGGGGACACTAACGATTTGTTTCTGGCTGATCTGGTGGTAGGATTGTCCGTTGGCCAGATCAAATGTGGAGCGCCAGTGCGCGGCGAACGAATTGATAAGTACAACCAAATTCTAAGAATAGAAGAAGAGTTGGGAGCGCTTTCTAAATATGCCGGTAAAAACTATCGCGGACAACTGAATTGAATTTTATAGATAGCTTGTTTAATTTAAAATGATATTTATAAATGCCTAACAGAAGCTTAAACACATTTCGTCAATTCATTTCATCACCTACTACTACCTACTTTTTAAAACATGATAACGCAACAAATAGCGTATTAGGACGTATGTGCCCCTTTTACACGACGGTCAATATTTAATATCGCCTAATGACATAAATCAGTGGTATTCGGTAGCGGTTTCGTGGCGACCGCGCAAATTACCGGAAGTATCCACTCATGTCCGATGTGGCATAATTTGAACTGTTATTAAGTACCCGTGGAGTACAGCCATAGTCAAAAATAAATATAGATCACAATGTTAAATAGAAATGTAGCCACCCACCTTACCTGAGGCTACACGGTGCAGGCAGTAGCTGGACAACTGGCTTCTGAAAACCGTGTCGCGGCTTTGATTTCCATCTGCAACCCTATATAGGATAATTTAAATATAAGTTTTAATTTTCTGTGAGCCATTATAAAAGTTTACCTACTAAATAACTATTCTTGGTTGTAAAAGGTTTACCCCAAGTTTTATAGTGTACATTATGGGGGCACTGGGCAATTACTAATTAATATAGTACTTTTTTTTTTTTTTTTTTATCTTTATTTAAAAGAGCTTATTTGCAGTTACAAATATGACGCTCCGTATATAAAGCAAAAATAAATTGAAATACTTAAAAAGAAGAATTAAGGCAAAGATGATCTCCGCCTAAGACCCTCTTTAACTAAACTAATAAGTACTTTAGCTCTTTCACACAGTGGAGACGATAGAAAATTTATATAAAAACCTATATTGTAACATTCTTTACCAAAAAATCGATGTCTTAACTCCTTATTCCGATCACACTCCGCTAAAATATGATGTACGTCTTCAACTTTACCGCAAACATAACATTTCGGAGAATCGTTTTTTTCGCATTAGGAAGGCAAATTTATTCAGCGGAATGTGACCAGAACGTAGCCTAAACAACAGTACAATATCTTGTCTGTCTAGGTTAGATATTTCAAACCAAGGAGCTTTCCAAGGTTGTGATTGGACAATTTTATACCATATTCCCACATGTTTGGACCGTTCATCAAAGTATTCTTTCCAAAGTGAATAAGATTTTTGTTTAACAATGTAAGTGCAATCAGAATAACAAGGTAAAACATCCATACATATTCCGCTGTGAGACGCCTCTGTAGCCAATCCGTCAGCTATTTCATTCCCGTCGACACCAACATGTGAGGGTATCCATTGTAGAATGACTAATTTAGAAGAAGATAAAATGTCCATCATTAATTTGATAATCGTGAAAGCTATGGGGGTTCCTCTCAAGCCCGAAGTGCACCGAACCAAATGCTGAAGGGCACTTTTAGAGTCACAGAATATGACGAATTTATTACATGAAATTGACTGAATATATGAAAGGGCTTCTGATATGGCAATAAGTTCTGCGTACATTATCGAAATATTAGAGTTTATCTGGAGTTTTATAAAGTCTTTCGTTTGTATATCAAAGAAAGCTGCCCCAAGTGTATTTGATGTATTATTTTTCGAAGCATCTGTAAACATTTTATAAAAGTCTGCGTAATTTTCATTAATACTCAAATCACAGATTTCCTTTAAAATTAAGTGACTAAAAGAGCGTTTTGGCTTATTCACTGACTTAATATCACAAATGATATTTTCAGAAAGATCGATACTGGTAGTCCAAGTATCTAAAGAAAATATATCTAAAACTTGCGTACTTTGTACGCGAACATCCTTGAAGTAATCATATGCTTCAATTAGTAGCGGTTTTTTCCGTCTACCTGTGCAGGAATTTGCCCACAAATCTTGCAATTCCTGAATAGATTTATAAATAAATGAACCACCCCAAGATATAGTTTTGCAAAAATATTTGCCAGCTAAAAATGATCTTCTAACATGTAGAGGTTGTATACAAAGTTCGCTTTCCATAACATGAATAGGCGAAGATTTAATGAAACCCCCTATTACTCGCATACACTGATTTTGAATTTTATCTAATTTATTTAAATGAGCATTACAACTATTGCCGTATAAGAAGCAAGAATAATCAAAACGGCTTCTGACAAGGGAAATGTACAGACGTCTGAGATGTGTCGGATGAACACCCCAACCTGGACCAGACAGAACTTTAAATAAATTTATTAACTTTAACAATTTTTGTTGCAATTCATTAATATGTTTGGACCATCCTAGGCAACGATCTAACCACAATCCTAAATACTTAACATTATCAACAACATCTAAAGAAGTATCATTAATCTTAAGTTCAATAGGAACTTCATGTCTTTTTACATTTTTTCTAAATAAACAAACTTTACTTTTCTGTGGTGAAACCTCTAAACCAAGTTTCTCAAGAGACTTCGAAAAGTCTAAGAGAGCGCCTTGTAAAATATAAATAGAATTATTAATGTTTTTATCAGTAACAAATATTACATAATCATCTGCATATTGCGAAAAACACACCCTAGAATTTAACGATTTACAGACATCCATGGTAGCAATATTAAATAATAATGGAGACAAGGGATCACCTTGAGCCAGTCCAAGGCTAGTACGTCTACAAATATTAACATCATTAGTAACAACTTTTAAATATCTCTCACTAAGAAAATTCCATAAATACAAACAGATATTTGAACCTACCCCTAGTCTGTCTAAAGATAGTAATAATGTATAAATATCGACATTATTGTATGCATTATTAATGTCCAAAAAGCAACTTAAGGTAGTAAAACCTTTTAAAAAACCTGCTTGTATTTTTGAAATTAAATAGGCTAAATTATCCAAACAAGATTTAGACTTTCTAAAGCCAATAGTATATTCCGAGAACATTGCATTTTTTTCCAAATACCACTCTAATCGCTTATTAATAATTGAATGAAAAACTTTACATATACATGACATTAATGCTATAGGTCTCAGAGATGACACAGAGTTGGGATCTCGTCCTGATTTCGCTATTGGAAAAATACGCGTATCTCGCCACTGAGCTGGAATAAAGCCACTATCGAAAAAATCATTATACAAACGTGTTAAAACTATTTTGCCATTTTGAGGCAAATTTTTAATCATAGAAAAGGAAATGTCATCGCAACCAGGAGCTGTATCAGATGATTTAATATTCTTTTCCATTTCCTGTACAGATATAGGGGTAGACAATTTAGTATTACTGGATTTAAATAAAGGTTGCCTGTTAACTACATAATCTGGAGTAAGGCTACCTAAAAGTGTTTTAACCCGGTTCTCTTCAACATAATATGTCTGATTAGTTTTGTGACACCCTTTTATCCAGCGCATTCGCTGCCACACCACACTTGCGGACGTTGCGTTATCTATACCTGAACAGAACTTTTGATATGCTTCCCGTTTAGCATTCTGAATATATTTTCTCGCCTCAGTGATTTTATTTTGAAGATTATCTAGGTTATTAGGAGTAGGATTACGCCTAAATGATGCTAAGGCAAGACGACGTTCTGCCACTGCTTTTGATATATTTGCACACCAATAAGGTTTGGGTATAAACCTATGACAAGGATTTGGATTTATTTTATAGTAAGGAATATAGCAATCAGCAGCTTTATTAATGACGTTCACGAATAAATCATATGATTGCTGCAGATTAGTACTCGAATACATAAATTGAGAAAAATCTTCCTGGAGCTGAGTCCTGTACAATGTCCAATCAGCTTTTTTAAAATTTCTTTTTTTAATAGAATGAAACAAGTTATTACTGACTGATGAAATCTTTACAATACAATGATCACTACCTAATGTTTCACTTGTAACACGCCATTCAAACTTTGAGGCTATGTCTGTTGAAACTATTGATAGGTCAGGAGATGAAGATTGCAAAATACCATTAACCAGTTTAATTCTAGTAGGATTTCCACTGTTCAAAGTAATAAGATTATAATCTATTAAAGCATCAAAAATTTGACTTCCTCTCAAGTCCGTTTTAGAAGACCAACTAGAGTGATGGCCGTTAAAATCACCGAGTATCAAGGATTTGGAAGCAAAATTACTGAATATATTTTCCCAATCCGTTTGTGTGGTGTGTACAGACGGAGGACAATATACAGAAACTATGTTTTGTAACATTTCACAATTAAAAACTTTGATATGTAAAAGCTCTATACCTGAATGAAGAGATGTCTGTGAACAAGCTAGGCTTTTAACAGAATTATGAACGAAAATTGCTACCCCTCCGTATCCATCTAATCTGTCTTTACGATATATTGTATATCCACTAGCCCGAACCTCCTGATCGCCGCGTAACCAGGTCTCACTTAAAGCTGCAATGTGAACTTTTTCTTGGCACAGTAATTGCTCCAAGGAAATCATTTTATTTTTTAAACTTTGGCAATTCCATTGTATTATATTCAACTTGTATTTATTCCTTCCCGCCATTATTACAGGAAAATAAATTTAACCAATTACTATTTAAAAAATAGTTTTTCATCTTAGATGTAAGCCACTGCAATATAAGCATAAATACATTTTTAATCTTTGTAGTAACATCTTCTTGGGTAAAAACGATATTGTATATTTCTGTTAATAGTCCTTCAAAAGTATTTTCATTCATCTTGTCCTTATAATTACGAGTTTTTGTTTTAGTGGATGTATCATTGTTATCAGTATCAGACGACCACACGCCCTCATTCTCAAAAGACATTTCCTTAACCTTTTGACTTTGTTTTTTGTTCTTCTTCTTTTTTTGTTGGAGCTTCTGTTTTGTATTCACCTGAATATTATCATCTTTACCGTCATTAACCAAAAGTTTTCCGTCTAACGGCTTAACTGAAACCCCTTTTACCGTAGATGCATATGATGAAACTGTGGCAGTTGAAGTTGATGCTTTACTATTGTTTTCCTCCTGTCCGGTCTTGTTTAAAGTCGATGTTTCCTGAGTAGATGGCGTGTATAACATAACAGCTTTCTTATAAGTGCAGTTTGATTCCACCATCAATCGT